CTAGAATAGGAGTTTTTTATTACAATGAAAAGATAATTACACATGGTTACTAACCTAAAATAAGAGAATCAACAATTGAATGTTCATGCTTCTATTCTTCAATTAGTTGAGACTTCAAACATTACTTAACTTGTATGAGGTAATTATTATTTAACTTGAAATTAATTTTATAATATTTGATATAATAAAATATTGATTTAATTTCTTATTGAACTTCAGTTTGTTAACTCTCTCTTGTTATAGTATTCTTACTACCCAGCTGATCTTATTCGATAGGTTATTTGTATTTAAATAACAAAATACATATAAATGTATGAATGTGACGATACTCACAAATATTTATTTCAAGTGTCGAGTCTCTAGCTGGAATACCGTCGAAATGGTATAATTTCGTACGTCCAGCCAGACGGACAAACAGACAGACGGACATTGCACAAAAGCAATATACGCTTTCACTTGAATTGATATGGAAACAAAGCAAAAGTTATGAATTTGTTAGTATCAATTGTCGATTGTCCTCGACTCATTTTCAATTAAATACACAGCTATTTATATGCCTATATAAATGCAGCTATGTATATATGCCTATGTGCAATAATTACCTATATACATACATAAATATATGTATATGTAAATGTATATACTTACTGCTATGCAAACTATTTCTTTTAGTGACTGCAGTTGCCCAGCTTCACCAATAGTTATTTAGCTCATTTGCATTGAAATTTTCTTCATATTACGTATACGTCACATCGCACATAGCTACTATTTGTGTGTACATGCTTGCATGATGCTCAACCATCTCTTTAAATATGCCCCAGTACAAACACCCACAGCCATTTGCCAAGACACCCACATTCATGAAATGCTAAAGCAATTAGTTAAATAGGCAAGGCTTCTTTGAAATATTACGCATACGACGCGTTCTACCTATCAAGTGTTGCCCACTTTGCAACTGTTTATTGACCAGAAGTAAACACACACACACACACACACACACACATTGCTTGATTAGTAGTTGAGTCCAGGCTCACTTTGTAGGCCAATGAAGCATCGACCTCATTCACATGTTGGGCGGTCAGGTATGCAAGCGCAAGCATGCTTGCGCAAGCCAGCCGCAAGCCATGCTTGTGCACACACAGGCAAAATAAAACGAAATATGAAGAAAAAATACAAACACTCCCAAAATAAGCGACTAGCAAATACCCTGTACAGTTGTGGGGCCGCACAAAAAGCCCCAAAAGCCACGCTGCCGCCTCTCAGTCTAGCTGAAGCTTGCAGCTTATGGATTTTAGCTGGAAAACTTGGCAAGGTTTCATATTATCATCGAGCTGCACTTCCTTAAGCTGCAAACTAAACTCAACTTCTGCTTTATGCTCTGCAACAATCCACACACACACACACACTCACACAGACAGAGAGTCATACATATATATGTATGTACAATATATGGGGTAAATTCATGTGGGTGTTGTTGGCCCTTCGCAAAATGCCTTTGAGCTGATGTATTTTATATAATGCCATAAGAATTTCAATTTTGTAAGTTGTCGCAGCGTATGTTACTTTCATAACCAGCCAGCCATCCACTTATATAAGCCAAAGCCAGCTGAGCACACTTGGCGAGAGAGAGAGAGAGAGAGAGAGAGAGAGTAGATAAAGATAGAGCTTAGCTGCTACAAATAGCTTTGATTATTAAATGGGCCGTTTACGCGGAATGACGGCGTATCAATTAGCGGCCTAGGGGAGCTTCAGCTCAGCTGTGCAGGAAAGCGCGAATGTCACTCCAGTCAACAGAGATTAATGCGACACGCTCAGTCAAGGTGCGCGCCGTGCCGACACCTGGGCTGGCAGCTGCAAAGCCCAGACAGACAGACAGCAGAAAGCGTCGATTTGGGTCACTTGGCAGCTGCGACAGAGCGGAATTCATATCCGCGTTGAGCGACTCACT